TAAATTTGGGTGGCATAAATGTAAAAAACTTTCCTATGCATGAAAAGAAGTATTTCACTTTTAAAAAAGTTAAATTGGTGGCGTTTTTGATGTGATATGAAAGATTTGGATTGTATAAATGTAAAAAATTAAAGACATTTATCATGATTAAGCAATAAAAAAAGCATTTGTCTTCCAGGAAGCAGCAGCATAATTGATACCAAATTTGATATATAATTTGCACAATATCACACCCTAAAATGATTTTTATTTAATCATATAGTCCCTGAATACTATATGGTCATCCTCTTTCAATATTATTTATAGTAATTAATGAAGCAAAAATAAAAGGAAAAAATAAGATTATTTATTGATAACTTCATCCTAGCCATACTACTTAATATATAGATTTCATACATATTAAAAAAAAAAAAAAACTAAAGTATAAAAAAGTTGATACAAAACATTTAAAAAAAAACATAAAATAAGTTATAATTAAATAAGATTTTATTATTTTATTTGAAATTAATTTTTTTATTTGAAATTAATTTTTTTTATTTTTTTTATAAAATTATTTATTTAGCCTGTTTTTTAGATGTTTTATTTTTTAATTATAAAAACAAATTAAAATATTAACCAAACAAAATAAAAAATAAAAAAATAAAAAATAAAACAAATAAATGTTAAAAGATAATATATTTAAGTAGCCAAACAAATGTTATTGCAATGAGTTATCAACTATGGCGCCACTTTTTTTTAGTATGAAGCCATGAATCAATAGATAATGAAAGTTAGGCATGCTACAATCATTAGTTATTCAGTTTCAACCAAAAATCTTAAACCTGCGATGGAAATAAACTGAAATTGCATTTCTAAAATCAGATCATGCAAACAAAAAACCTGACTGCGAAAATGTACAGCTTACATGTATTAGATATTAATGTGTTGAATACAAATTTATCATAGAGATCATGCACAAAAAATATAGCATAAAAATCAAGAAAAAAAGAAGAAAGGCAAAAAGAGTGACGCAGCAATTGCCCTCAACGGGGCAAAAGTGGGGGTCTTCCTTAGACTCTTGGACAAATTTTATATATTAAAAGAAGTTGCTACAAGAGAAGAGGCGAGCGATGCCTAAATGGCTAGAAACCCCAAATGACCTGACTCCCTATACATGAAAAGAAAGTCATCCTATTTATAGATGATATGAGAATAAAAGTACAAAAATTACATCACTGTCTCTGGGAGTTATAAGTTATTAGTCCCTGGGAGTTATTGGTTATTATTTTTCTTTATTGACACATTTTCGTATATCTTATGCCTTTTTGTACGTCTATCACTTTTTCGTTGCGGGATCGGCCGAATGAGGTGGCCGACCGGTCTCTGCTACCGTCAACTCTCATCTAGATCAATGCGGTATTTTTTAGACATACATAAATGCCCCCAAGTCTCTTACTTATTGGAAAGAAACTGCGATAAGAATAAGAAACTTTGAATGCCAAAAATGCAATCACAATATTGCAATAATTATACTCTATTGAATTCAGCGACTCTTAGCGCCCTATTTTCTTCGGCCGAAGAGTGGTCCCCTAAGGTTTTTTCATGTCGATTTTTTATCTTTGTTGTCGATCAACTAAGTGAACTTTGGCTAGTTGGGGTGACCTTCGGTCGGTCTCATTAGCTTCATCTTCATTTTAACATTTTACTCTCACAGGGCTATTTGTTTACGATATTTGCTCGGTGATGAATATTGGCGTTGGTTGATTTGTTTGCCTCAAAAGAAAGTTTTTAATTTGCTTGCCCCAGAGGGGAGTCTTTGATTCACTCGCCTTGGAGATGAGTCTTTGATTTACTGGCCCCGAAGAGGAAACTTTGAATTACTCACCCCAGAGAGTAGTTTTTGCTTTGTCCGGTCGGTTAGAATTTCTTGAGTGTTGGCTTAGATTCATATGCCTGTGAAATTTTTGAGTTCCTCGAGGTTCTGTCGAACCTCGAAAAATAAAAAAAGAATAGAGTGATATTCATGTAAAATCTTCCCTGATTTTGAGATGGTCGGCCGAAGGCGGGTGATCAACCGGAAGCAAGAGGCCAGTCGGAGCAGTGATTGACCAGAGGTTATGTACGTAAATATAAAAATATATAAGAATTGAGTGGTATATATGTGAATCTTCCCTGATTTTGAGATGACTGGCTGGAGGCTTATAGCCTGTCGGAGGCCGTTGACCAGATGATTTTGAGATGGCCGGTCGGAGGCTTATAGCTCGTCGGAGGCCGTTGACCGGCCAGAACCTGGTGGTCAGTTGGAGCAGCAGTCGGCTAGAAGCTGGCTTGCTGGAAGCACAAACGAATTGAGTGGTGTGTACGTAAATATACAAATATATAAGAATTGAATTGTATGTATGTAAATCTTCTCCTATTTTTGGATGGTCGACCGGAGGCATGTGACCAACCAGAAATAAGTGGTTGGTTGGAGCAACGCTCGGCCTAAGGTTGGCTTGTTGGAAGCACAAACGAATTGAGTGGTATCTAAGTAAATATACAAATATATAAGAATTGAGTATTATGCATGTAAATCTTCCTTGATTTTGAGATTGCCGACCGAAGGCATACAACCATCTGGAGGCCGGTGACCGACCAAAACCAAGTAGTCGGTCGGAGGAGGCCAGAGCAGTGGTCGGCCGGAGAGTGGCTTGCTGGAAGCACAAATGAATTGAGTAGTATGTACGTAAATATATAAATATATAAGAATTGTGTAGTATGTATGTATGTAAATCTTCTCAGATTTTGAAATGGCCAGCCAGTGGCGGCCGGAGCAACGAGGCAGTCGGAGCAACGTGGTGGTCGGTTGATGGCTGATCGGTGGCCTTAAGTGGCCGGCCGGTGAGGTTGAACTTGGTCGGTTGGTGGCTTGAAAGATGTCGGTTGGACTGCACGTAGTGAGGTCTTCCGAGCAGTAAGGAGTTTTCCACGCAACAAAAAGGGGTGGTTGGTGAGGCAGTATGCCGGCGAGTTCTTTCGCTCGACGGAGGCTTCCACGCAATAAAGAGGCAGTCGGTCAACGACGTAGACAGCCAACAAGGTAATCAGCCGAGCGGATTTTCGCGTGAGGTAGGCCAGCGCACGAGAGGACTGGCGTAGGGGACGCTTCCGTGCGAATGATAGGATCAGAAGACGAATGAGTCGATCGGCCGGCGAGGTGGCAGACACAGAAAACCTTAGCATGACAATTAGGGTTGGCCTAGGGACTTCTCTAATTAAGTGAAGCCACCGTTTTTGTCTTCATTATTTTTTGTGGTTGATCTCTTGTTTTTATCAGCTACTATTTACTTCTAGTCAATAGAGTAGGCCCGGCAAGAACAGTTCTAAATAGATGTGAGAGAGAAAGTGGGTCAGTCAGGAGTAGGTGCCGGTCAGAATTTTGGGGGGACTAAATAGATGTCGTATGGGAGTTACGCTCGACAAAACAGATGCCAGTAGGTGAAGCTGGCCGACACGGGAGATTTTTACACTACATGGAGGGAGAAGAGTAGATTTTCGCTCAAGCCTGCTACTGTGCAAGTTCACCTCGTGTGTTCTTTGTTAGAAATGTCTCTCCGAAGAGTTTTTCCTCAGTGTTGCTCGTCTTCTTGTTGACGACATGAGTTATGCTCACCGTACCTTTTAGAATGTTAAATCCAAATTTGTTATGTAGATCATGCCTAAGGAATAGAGCGTAGAAACCAAGGGAGAAAGACGGAGAGAAAGTGAAAGGAGTGGCACAGCGATTGCCTCCAACAAAACAAAGTGGAAGTCTTCCTCAAGGTCTCGGACCCATATTATATATTGAAAGTTGTTACAAGAGGATGTGAGAGATGTCTAAATGACTGGAAAGCCCAAATGGCATGAGTTCCCATACATGAAAAAATGTCATCCTATTTATAGATGATATGAGGATAAAAGTGCAAAAAATTTTCCAGATATTCAGTGAGAATCTGTGGAGCTCGAGAGAAAATGAAGCATGGAAGATTCAAATTTGTGAAGATTGTGAAAAGTTCATGAGATTTCGTGAGAGTTTGAAATTCGAGAGATTTTTCTTTTCTTTTAAGTTTTCGGATTTCCTGTTGTTTTCATACTTTTGTTTCATTTTTTTTTTTTGTTCATTTCATTTTCCTTTATCTTTTGAATTTCTTTTGTTGTTATTTATCATTATATTTGTATCGTTCTTTGTTCAACATTCCTTAAATCGAGCCAAGCCCAATTCATTGGCATTCACAGTCAATTGCACAGAAACTGAAGATAAAATGCAATATGATCGTTCCCATTTAATTGCTGAAAGAACTACATCATGTGCTTCCATATAAAGGAATATACCAAAACGATCTCTGACATGATTCCTTGAACAACATGCTCAGACACTGTGATCAAGGTGGAAGTCTCCTAGAGAGTTACAAATTATAAGTCCCGGGACTTATAAGTTATTATTATCCCTGAGAGTTACAAATTATTATATCTTGATTGACATATTTTCGTATATATGACAATATTTTGTATGTTTGTGGCTGGATCCATCCGGCGATGTGGTCGACTAGTTGGCGGGACTGACCGGTCAAATAAGATGGTCAGCCGATCTATGCTACGCTCAACTCTCATCTTGATCCACGTGAATATTTTTCAGACAAGCAATATAGGAACATTTCCACAATATCTCTGTCTAATAATTTCTTGGGGCATTTACATACATACCACTCAATTCCTAAATATTTACACATCTAACACCTAAACTTATGCTCTTAATATTTATGCAAACCTTTCAAAAAAAATAATAAATACCACCATTTTAACTTTTAAAAAGCGGAATACACCTTTCACCTTTTCATACATAGACAAGGTGGTATCTACATAAAAATTGAAGTTTAAGTGTCAAATATGTAAATACATAAGAATTGAGTGGTATGTATGTACATATTCCTAAGTTCTCAAGTTTTAGAGCTAAAGGTCAGAAACAGGCGTACAAGACCATATTTTTAAAATAGCAAACATGCCTGGTTTTCATTCTTGAACGGATAAAACAGCGTAAGAATTCATCATCATGCTCTGAATTATTTTCCTTAATTACGCCGGCTTTTATTAAGTAGCAAGTTTGTGATTCACATATGATACGACTCCATAGGCAATTCCTATTATCAAAATATTCTCTGCTCTCTTCTAATGTCACATATCATAGCTAGCACTAACATGATTATAAACATTTTCAATATCTCAAATACATAAAAACTGACCTGTGAAGCATATAACTCCCCTCGCCTCAGCTTTAAGGTTAGAGTTTAAGATCACCAGATGGTACAGAAATTGATTGCAGGAACTGGCTTAGCTCTTCAGCAACCCTTAATGGATACTCCTCCTGAGGGAGAAGGGCCCCTGGTACTTCCACAAACTTCGTGACACCCTTCGCACCTTTAAGCGCATCAATCTCTGCTTTAGATCTCTTTGGTGCATTTTTCGCGGAAACAACAAGAATAGGTATCTTTCCGTCCAACTCGGCAAATAGATCCAAAAATTCATCTCGAGTCTTGACGGGGTCGAGGAGCCCAGTCAAGAAAGCTGCCGGAACGTATCGGGCACCTTTCCGCTTAGTCAGAGCGTATCGGCTCTTGATGACACTCGGAGTGACGTTGTTAGGGTCAGCATAGACGTGCGACTTATACTGGGATTCGATCGCTTTCTCGTTGCTCACAAGCACATTGTACATCATCCAGCCGACCGCGGGGGCTCTTAAAGTTCCCCTAAGCAGCCCATATCTGCATATAATAGATGATAAAGATTTAGGTTACATGGGGATGTGCATCTTGAAGAGCATTAAGAGCAGTATGAGTTTCTGTGCAGCTTAATAATTACACAGGTTGACAACATGCAAAGCAGTTTTTTCCCTTCAAAACTAGAAAATGCAAAGAAAGCGACTTTAATGAATATCACAAAAAAATATTATATGGCATTATGATATTAACCAATGGCTATTTTGGGATCATGAAGCCGAGTGTGCGCATTGCATGCTTTGCAAAGCAACTATAACGTACATAGTTTGCTGCTTCAATTACAGCTTAGTGTAACTCCACTTCTTTGTAGAGCGGTGCACATCCGTGCAGTTTTGCACCACAATACACTTAAAGCGCTCACTGCATAGTGCTTTCAAAAACGCGTATGATTATAACTGAATTGCATGGAATGATGGCAAGAAGGTAAAGATATGGACTAAATCTTACACATTAATTTCGTGATCCTTTTAACCATCATGTCCTTGTTAGCACTAAAGGCAAAGGCTACCCATTTTTGTATTTTGACAGTTTGGTTGGAGAACATCATTTAAAAAAGAATATTTGCATTGCAACTTTTACCTTGATTCCATCGTAGAACTTCGACCAAAGACTATAGGCAGGGGACCAGACCATGTAGGAGCAACAGCGGCAATGGCGGATGGCTTGACCTTACCCTTAACAGCTGCACGAAGAGCTAAAGTTGCTGCATGTCCTCCTCCAACAATGACCAAATCTTCATCTACTCAAAACAAACATGATTTAGAACATACACTAATAGGTTTCCATCATAATACTGATCAGGATAAACCTCAAATGAATCACAAACCAAAAGCAAAAGGACAAATAATTTAAGAATCCTTAGTAAAACATGAAAAATTACAAAAAAACACTGCATTGGAATTGAGATATTTCAAGTGAGATTTGAAATGCATAGTATCTTTATTTATTTATCTTTTTCATATCTTTGGGAGTATGATTATAGAAAATTAGATCATATACTAAATTCTTCCTACGTTTAAAAAGCAATCAAGAGTGAAAGATTAGAAACAAATGAAAAATATATATAGTTCAAATTTTCATCATTTCGATGAATACAACATCAGAATCACAAGGTTCTATTAACAGATATAAATGGATAAACCATGTAATACATCTTATAATGACATTTCCCAAATCGCCTAAATTCAACCTTAAGTTCTTAACCAAAATCATGTATTATAGCAAATCTCAAATGACGAGATATTCATGCATTGTCTATGTCATTTTATTCAAACCCAATTCCCTGAAACATTACATTCTACAGTTGTTTTTAGATGATATCTGACATCAAACAAAGGTTTTTCGTTGCAGCTATTGTGCTGCATCTTATACTTTAGGATCCATAAAAGTTACAGTAAAGACAAAAACAGATTGTCAATTTCATGAGCTCATGTATTACGATAAAAAGTAAAAACAATATAGTTTTAAGTAAAATCTTTGAAACCTTAAGGGGCTATATAACAATGGATTAGATTTAAATTAGTAGCAGTTAGAAAATCCAGTAAATCCGGATTTAGTAAATCCTGAAAGGGTTAAATTACTATTTGGTAATAGATTTAGTAAATCCAGTTAAATTCTTTCAAACTGTTTGACAATTTCTATCATCATTTAAAAGATTAAGTTGGTTTAAATTAAAAAAAATCATAATTGAACTTTGGTTATTTTATTATTATGATTAAAATTATATATTAAATTTAATTAAATTCAATTTAAATTTTATTTTGAATTCTACAATTAATAATTAATTATTCACTACTAATTAATTACTGATAAAAATATTAATAAATTAATTATTTTGTAAGCAATAAATTAACATTAATAAATTAATAATTACTTAGTTATTGATTAAATTAATTTAAATTACTTATAATATTATTAACAACTTATTTTTATTCATCAAATAGTTATTAAATAATTAAATGTAAATTTATCTAATAATAATTAATTTGATAACACAAGAATTAATTATAATTATTAATCAATTAAATCAATAAATTTAACTTAAATAATAATAAATTAGAACCACAAACCTCTCCCCTTCCCTTCTGCCCGAAAACCTTGCCTGCATCACTCTCCCTCTTTGCCCAAAACACTTGCTTGACCCTCCCTCTCCTGATTTTGCCCAAAATCATCGACTTCATGATTGAACCCTCGCGATATAGTAGCTTTAGAGCTAACTTGGAAGGCAATGACAAGATCGCAACATACAAAGAGACCTGAAACTCCCACCTTTCTCCTCCTTTCTTTGCTCCTAACCTAAAACGTGGAACAAGGTAACTTCACAACCTCCTTTTCTCGCAAAGCACCCATTCCGGATTTACTAAATCCATTATCTAATGGGATCTAATGAATTCGGGATTTACGGTCGAAATCTATGAAATCCAGATTTATCAAAATTGCGGCTTTATTTCGTTCAAACTAACCGTCTGGCAAGATTTAGGTTAAATCCAGGTTAAGTCCCACTATAACTTTGTTATCAGACAAGCCCAAAATGTTATTAAAATCTGATTTACCAAAAAATTTTGCATGAAATCACATAAATAATTGCAAAGCATCTCAAATCCAAGGAAATCATAGAACAATTGTACAAGTTATAAGAGTGACTTATTTTTTTACTAAAAACAATAGAAATTTACCAAACAAAGCCTGCTATTCATAAGGCATAATCTTGTTCACAATATTATTTATATTTGAGAGGACTTTTAGTTTATATTTTCATTTGTAAACGTTGGCATATTTAGTAGGATATTAAACTTCTTCCTTATAATGAAAAAAGATTATGGTAGAATAGATTTGATAATTGGGATATAATTCATGTCATTTATTTTATTATTGTAGTTTCCCCTATGCCTATTCAAAGACCTTATTATAGGTCAAGGATATATGCAATACTTTCATTTCCCCTCACTAGCGCCCAGCCAGCTTTGCTAGCCACACGGTTCGTCCATTCTTCAATGTTTTGTTGTTGATGACTTCTCTTATATTGTCTCCATCTTATATATGGTACATGACCTCTTCATCTCCTGTGCATGTTTTGAAAAACTCTTTTATCAACATCTCTAGTGATCATAGGCCTTTAGATTTCTTGCTAGCTCATATGGCATTCTCTCATCTTCATGCAACCCCTCAAGCTCATGATACCACCATTAAGTTCTCCAAATTGAAGGCATTCAATTATTGGGGCCAAACATATGTATTGAAGTTTTGAACCTCTACTTCACTAAGATTGCTAAGGCTATGTGATGTTTTTTATGGGGCAAAACATATGTATTGAAGTTTTGAACCTCTACTTCCTTCACTAAGATTGCTAAGGCTATGTGATGTTTTTTTTTTGTTCTACTTTCAAGAAAATAACATTTCCAGGGCCAACTTTCTCTATAACATAAGGATTTGCCCATTTAAGATTACTACAGCACATTGTGAGATAAGTTCGTGCGAGATGAGTAGATGGCTTACTTTGTTATAAATCTTTTAACATTGATCCTAAGATATGGCAACAATAAAATGGATGATCTTGTTTATTAAATTCCTATCAGACCTTTATACATTCCTAGAACATGTGCATTCTCAATGAATGTTTGATTAAATAATTTCCAATCTTGCAACCACTCTTTCGTTAGTTCATCACATTATCGAACTATCATCTCCTGCTACTATCATCTCCTGCTCCACGATCCTTCGTTTAAACTATCCTCAGTATTGAGAATCGTGTTGGGCAAGGTGATAATTGTCACGGAGGTCATATTGTTATAGGATGAGATTTTTAGGGTTTCCTCCTTATTCTCATTGTGTTTGTATTTATTAACATTAGAGCAATGTTGTGCAAAATTTGATTACCGTCCTACTACCCAAGATGCCCTGAGAACCTCTACTTCTACCAATGGTTCTTCCACAATTGTTGCTCCCTTTAGCTTTGACACGATTTCTTAAGAGGAATAGGATTATTTCAAAACTTTTACATTTAACGTAGTTGTCTCCTCAAGTATTTCTAGAGTTCAGCAAAGTTTAAGGATGAGCAATTGGATTTAGAGAAAATTTTAGCAATGTTAAAAGATGAACAATTGGGTTTAGAGGAGATTCTCCTTTTTTTTATGTGACAAATTTGCATCACCCTCCAAATTAAACAATTAAATTAAGTAGAAATATGAAAACTAAAGCATTTGAGGGTCATCCTCACTTGGACTCGATAATAAGTAACATAAAAAAAGTTCGAGCTCAATTTCTTCCTAATAAAATATTTAAGAGTATTCCAAAATATCAAAATAACATCATAAAAAGTCATATAAACACTCAATAAAAAGCAAGAATCTACAATAAACCAATATTAAAAACTAGAAGTCTAAAATAAACAAAAAAATATATTCTTATTCCTTAAATAAACTTGTCAAGAATTTTATGACTAAAAATTGAGATGACTCTCTTACTCCCATTATTTAAAATGTCTTCATCAGAATTATCTTAGTAGTTGATTTTTTTTTCATCTCTCTCATTTTCACTTGTATCAATATTCGCCAAATCTTCCTAATTATTTTCATCTCAACCATCTTCATTTTCTAATTAATAAAAGTCCAATAAAAATTATTTCTATAAATGATTTTAATTTCTAAATTTTTATACCAACTTTTATTAATGAAATATGTTTTGCTATAAATCATAATGCCAAATGGACTTTGGGCATATAAACTTCAAAAGCTCAACACCTCATAGAGGTGCAAATTAACGCAACCACCTCATTATATATGTGTCTAAAACAATCAATGCGTACAAAGCAATAAACTCATGCGGAGCATATGCCTTTGGTGATTTTTGTGTGCCTCAGATTGCACAGTTTTAATTTTGACATTTAGACTCATATGCCTATTCCCAAATGACAAGAAAACAAAAACTCTTCACCTTTCTTCCACAACACATGATGAAATATTGAAATATAATTACAATGACATTAATATTAAAATTAATTTCATTAATCCTCTAGCTTTTTCTGTGATAAATATGATATTAAACTTTTTCATTTGATGCCTTTTGATAGAAAATATTAAGTAATTTTTATTCCACAACTTATATTGATAATTTATAAAAAAAACATAACATTCAAGTTGTATCATATTCCACAACTTATATTGAAAATTTATAAACAAATATTTAGAATTCAAGTAGTTTGGTTGAAGTGGAGGAATACTTCGGGTCTATTGTGTAATAGAAAAGTGTCGCTTAGACAAAAAGGAAAATTTTATAAGATGTTGTTGACCTCACTTTTGGTTGAGGTCTAGATACTTCGGGTCTATTGTGTAATAGAAAAGTGCCGCTTAGACAAAAAGGAAAATTTTATAAGATGGGGTTGAGACCCAAAATGAGCATGGCGCTGAATGTTGTCCTTTAAATAAGAAGCATACAACTAAGTAAGTGTTGCCAAGATGAGAATTTTTAGGTGGATGAGGGGCTTTACACTTAGAGGCAAAATGTGAAATGAATATATCCGTGATAAGCTGGTGTAGATCTAGTGGAAGACAAAATTAGATTTAGTCGTCATAAATGGTTTGGTCACATTAAACGTCGACCATCTGATGATCCGGTAAGAAGAGTAGATGTTTAAGATTTGACTTATATTAAAAAAAGGAAGAGATAGACTATAAAAAATGATCTTAATTTATTAGAATTAAATGAAAATATGACATTCAATAGGACGCAATGGAGAAAAAGGATTCATGTAGCCGACCTCACTTAGTGGGATAAAGGCTTGTTGTTGGATTTGAGTTCTATCATGTTTGTGGTCCATTTTTATGTAAACACCTGATAGAATTCCCCACAAATCTTTATTAGAGTTTTAAAATTGCTTTGTTGTTATTATAATGTGAATACCTACGATATAGCTTGCATATAAGCTGGAGGATATACGAGGATATACAAGTTTGAGAATGCTAGTATTTCAAAAGCCAATGTTCTGAATATTAGACCCATTTTGCCTAATCAATTGGTCAAACTTTAAGCAAGCTACTAGAGTGGTTCAAAAAAGTAAAGAATCCAGCTAACAAAAAATCAGGGAAAAAAAATGCTTGAACCAGCGGTTGAACCATTGAACCAAGCATGATTTAGAAGAACCATATCGTTCTTTATAAAATCTTAAATGGAGTAATGGACAAATAACAACATCTCATTTTTCATATCTAGCCCTCATCTGTACATTAGGTGATTGCATTTTCTTTTAGCTAGACAAAATGGCATCTTTGTTCATATTCCAATTTTGTAAGGAGCATAATCCTTAATGAATCACTTAAATAGTATAGTAAATTAGCTAATGTTGGTGTAGTTGTGGATGTGGGTTTATTTAAATAACCATATAAATTTTGGTAATCTTTTTTAGTGCTCGTCCTCTTTTGCAATTACTTTATTGTTTATGATGCACAACCTTAAGTTGAAGGCAGTCTCTTTCCTAAGTCACATTGACACCGAGAGAATGATCATGCTTTCAAATTTCTCAAGACATGAAGTATTCTTGGACCTACGAGCCAAGAAACCAAGAATATGAGGGAAACAACTAGGATTTTAAAAATCAATTTCTGATCAAGTAAACTTCCAAAAAATAATGCATGGATCCCAACAAAGATTAGAATGATTGAATTTTTTTTATTAGTTACTCAAAAAATTAAGTCAGAAACCAAATAAGCTCAAAATACAAAAACAAAAAAAAGAGAGATTTAGTAAGTGCAAAAAACCCAAGGACATCACTATCACTTAATTCATGCACCAAAAAGGCTTGAACCAATCTAACCAAACTCGTAGTATTTACCAAAATTGCTTGGCCAACCCCATTTCCCTCAAGCGGTAATAAGCTACAAGCAAAAATTATAGAACAAGTCTAGCAAAAACATTGACACAAATATGAAGTGCAGAAAATATTTATCTCAACATCATGTGAAATACAATGTAATATAACTAAATTGCAAAAAAAATCCAAATAAAAATTCTCACTTGAATTTCTCAGAGGACTATCTGCCTCATTTATGAGCTGAAATAGAAAGTTCTCCATCACATCAGCATTGTAATTTAGCAACGGCCTCTCCGAATCACCTAAACCAGGCCAATCGACGATAGTAGCACGCCAATTGACATTTCCTTTCCTTCCAACAATATCTTTTGCAACAACGCTCCACTCCTCAACGGTACTAACATCTGATATTGTAGGAATCATGAGGATGCTCTTTTCATTAGCATTGTTTTCTTCCTTGTGTTCTTCATAGTTAATATTGATGGTTGTTCCTTGAAATCTCCACCGCCAATTCCCAGACTTAAAAAAAAAAATTCAATGTTTGCGATAGAAAACAAATCTTCCAAAACAAAAGAAAAAAAATTAAATAAATCTATAGTTTGGTTGAAAATTAATGCTCTATGTTGTTCAACTTCCTTTGATTCAAAGAAATGATTGCATGAGAAATACAATTGAAAGAGCTATAAAATCAAAATACAATTATTCACTTTGTAAATTTACAATGGTAAAAAGAATTCTATCGAATATAGGCATACATATAGCTTTACAATCCTCAAATTATTCTCATCGCTCAGGTTAGTATGAGAGAACTTCCACCTTCAAATTTCATGATATCATTAGAATGATACAAGGTCAAAAGGGTTCATCAAAGAATTATATTATACAAAAATAGCGCCGCACTTTACACTTCCCTAACATAATTTCAAGATTTTCAGGATTAAAATTATAAAGAATAGAATCAGATTCTTTCTTGGATTCAAAAGCTTTAAGGAAATCAACTATAATATAAATGCCTTCTTCATAAAGTGATAAGTAGCTAATCAAAACTCACTTCTACATCAAAACTTATAAAAGGCTTCAACAATCTATAGATTTCAAAATTGAATTTCGCAAGCGTAACAGCTGCTGGCAGCTCAGATTAACATCAGAACATTTAAGTTTCAAACATGCGGATATATACAAACTAAAGCAGATACATAGACTGCTCAACTGACCACAGGGTCACCCAGCGATCTGATCAAACGAATCTTCAGTTTAATTTCCATCAATCAAGAATTTCAATACAATAAGCATAAAGAAGGGGGGGCAAAAATGAATATCCTCACCTTCGTTGAGATCAATGGCTTCTCCACCGTTGCAGTTGCTTCAGAGGGATCCACGGAAGAAGACACGCATCGGACCCTGATGGGACTTCCCAGCCGAGTACAGGAGAATCGTGGTGCATAAGAAATGGAAGTTCGAGAAAACTTCGCCGGAGAGGGAATCATGTACAGAGCAGCTGTTAGCTCCATGTTTGACCGCCAATTAGGGTTGTCGTCGGAACACCCTCGTAGAGATGGAGGTTGTGGATCTGGAGGCTGGCGAGGCTTTCAATTCAACGGTGTCACATTTCTTTTTTATTTTTATTTTTCTTTTCCAAGTTGAATCGATCAATGAAGTTTCTAAATTTTTTTTTTTTGTAGGCTCTTCTATTGAATCCTAATTTGTACGTCAATCACATCCTTTTCTTTTTGTAGGCTCTAAAATTAATTTTTAGTTAAATTCAATTTTTTTGTGTTGTTTACTGAATTTCATAGGCTTCTATTGAATCCTAATTTGTACGTCAATCACATCTCAAGGAATAAACAAGCAAAATATCATTACAATTAAGTCAATCATTTTAACCTCTTTTATTTATAGAATGATCTCTCTATTTATAGGGAGATGGCGAGATAGCGCAATATAGTGATGTTGCATTTTTGTCCCTACTTTAAAGGGCATTGTATAAGATATTCTTTGTATTTTACAGATATGAGTCTATCATTTTGCTATTTTTTGGTTTGGTCTGTTGAGATTGTTTGGCTTTGGGGCTGCATGACTGGTTTGGTCGGCATTACCAGACAACATTACCGGTCGACAGCTTGATTGACTTTGGCTCTGTAGAATAAGCTTAGTCAACTAATCTAGTTTAGTTTTTGACCATACATAATAGAGGGGAGCTTCTAGACATCCCCGATATGATTAAAGATGATGAGGGGCAAGGTCTTCTCTCAAATCAGCTTCTTTATGGTGGTTGGATCAAATGCATGTTTATCTCATTCATGTCCCAACAGTTCAAACTCAAATTATTTGGTCAGCTTCCGTAACTCGATCGGCTTTAACCTTGTTGGCTTTAGCTCGGACAATTGCATTCAGTTGGATAATGGGCTTTGTGGTCTTTTATCGGTGGGTCATCCGTCATCGTATTATTCTCCTTTGGAGCATTTGATTTCATTAAGATCAATGCTGACACATTTTTAATAGACAACTTCAATGTTTTAGAAGCAAAAGTTAAGGATTTAACATAGTAGTGAAATATTTATTTATATAATTAGTGAGATTTTACCGCTTTGATGCTAAATAGGATCAGTGTTGGCGCATTTTACATATCTGGAAAATGCCACCTCATCAATCCGAAGGAAATGTCATCTCGGGAGTCGTTCCAGCAGTCGTGCACTAATTGGGTTGGCCAACCTCTTCCAATTGACGAGCCACCAAGGGTCGGCCACATCAAGGTAGTTGGTCGACCACCCTGGCAGGCCATACCCCGTCGAATGACACAAAGGGTCGGTGACATGAATGTAGTCAGCCAGCCATCACCAGCCGGCAAAGAATATTTGGTCAGTCACCAAAGGTCGGACACATGGAGAACCTTTGGTCGACCACCTTAGTTGGTCACTCCCAGTCAGGCAACCCACATGGATCATCCATAAGGAAGAAGTTTAGCCACTCACCCCAACCAACTGACCACCCTTGGTCGGGCACCCGATGCTGATGGTTTCCGCGTAAGGACAAGCTCCAGAACTTTAGATCTGGGTGACGGAATGATGAAAATACCCCCACATTGGCCTCCTTAAAGTATGTGCATTCTTTTAATAATACTTTTCCCTCTTTTTTTACTTCTTAAAATGGAGGACCCTAGGAATGTATAAAGGGATCCCCCTGACATCCCTCACTTGGGCTCTTCTCTCTCTAGACCTCATGTAGGGAGGAATCTCTCTCATTCCCCTCTCTTATAACCTTTATTTTCCAAGAGATAAAAGGGGCCAAAGAACACGGGAACTCCCATATCATTGGTTTGGTTTGTGCAATAGGTGTATTTATATCATTGGTTTGGTGTTGTATGTACCAATATTTTGCGACTAATTGACCCAGTTTGGTACAAATTTGGTAGTGTATGAGGGGATGTTGAGAATTCCTAGATTTCTGACCTGAGTAACTTGAGCTAGGTGAATTGGTGCATCCTATGTAAAATTCATAGGAGTGGCCTCTTCCTCTACCATTGACTGCGAGAAGAGCTGAATGTTGTTCATTAGGTTGGAAGTGTTGTAGATCTTTTGCAGCATCAGCTTGAAGGTTGGTCTTTTCGCAGCTTATAAGTGAATATAGGTCGTCTAGACTTGTAGGATGAAGGATTGTAAGAATAACAATTTTGAAGGCTTGATGTGAAGGAGGTAAGCCATTTAAAGTGTAATAAATAATATCCTCAACTTTGAGAGGAGCTGTAGCCAGAGCTTGAACAACAATTTTTGCTTTGATGGTAGAGAGATATTGATTCATGGTCAGGTCATTCATAATAGTGTGGTATAACTCATTTTTAGTTGGATCCTCGTGATTGATTGGTTGAGCAACCACCTTTAAAATGTTGTTCAAATTTTTGCACAAGTGTTAAGGGCAAAAGCATATGATAGTAGAGAGAGAGAGAGAGGATAATGAAGTATAAGGTTGCTAAGGTTGCTACAAGATTCTGGTCAATTAACATCCAATTGTTGTAATCATTGTCAGGTATGAAAGATCCATCTTCTTATATGATCAGTTTTGGAGGGCATATGGTTGTGCTCTTAAGAAATCCTACAAATCTATTTGCACGAAATATTTTAAGCATCTGGGAGCACCAAATAGTGTAATTTTCCGAAGTGAGTGGGTTGTTGATAATATTCTTAATGTTAGATGTTAAGAACATAAGTTGAGTTGGGATGTGGGTGTGCTCCAATGAAAATGAGTAATTAAGCTGGCTAATGTTGGATGATTAGTTGGCTGCTTCCAACGTTGGGAAGAAAATTAGGCTTAAGATGAATTGACGCAAGGCTATGGTTGCTCTGATATGATGTAAAACACTAGAAGCAGAGTTACTAGTGTTGAAGACAAGTAGAATACAAATAGAAGAGTAAATAATACTTAATATGTTAAAAACCAATTGAGATAAAATCAACCCATACACTATTAAAGTTTGTTATGGAGTAGGGGATATTCACGTGGATAGAACTAGATTGTTGCTTTCTTGTAAGATAGTGGACATGTGCTGAGTACGAGTGAAGTATGTGAGGTGAATATTTCGTAACAATAGTTGTCTCAAAAGCAAAGTAATAAAAATTATGCAAATTGTTTCCTGCTCTTCTGTGGTTGAGTGGTGATCTATTCTTACAACTAAAAAGCCTAGTATGAAGGATTGACAAAGGGTTTTTTTTTCTTAGCCCAAAAAAGCTTTTTTTTAACCACTGTTGCTATATATTAGTCTCATATCTTTGCTTTACATTTCTTTTTTTGGTCTCATATCATTTTTTGTCTCACTTATAGGAAAAAAATATATTATGTGCCAATGAGTCACATATGTGAATAAGGTATGCTCGGCTTGTACACTCATAATCCTCACATACGAATGACCACAGATAATACTTTCACCACAAATAGATCAAGATCTTTTATTGCTTCATGTTGTATCTTCATTTACCCTCCTTAATGTTTTGTAATTCTCCTTTTATTTAATAATAATAATAATAATAATAATAGTAATTATTATAAATCAAAATTTAAAATTAATATAATGAAATATAAGTCAAAATTATTTAATTTATATAAAAACACAGCCCATTTTCAAGTTTATGGAAGAAGCTTAAAATCCGCCTCATAATCCTATTAATACATAAAGTCAATACCTAACAAAAATGACATTAAATTAGACTATAAAAAATGATAAAAAAAAATTTATTTAAACTCTCAATTTAGCTAATTATTTTTATTATAAATTTACTTCTAATTTAATTTTTTCATGAATTAATTAATTGAATTTTATTTAATTTTAAGTCTCAGAGTTGTTGGATAAAATACAATAAAAATGAATTAGTTTATATTAGCTGTGCTTTCACTCACATGATAAAAATTAAGTACTTGAATTTAAATTGGTGTATTTTATTGTATTATTGTAACTAACATTAAATATTTAAAAGAATCAAATTAAATTAAATCAAATCAAATTCATAATATATTTAAATTTTCAATTCAGATTCAGTTTAATTTATTTTTAATAAAATTAAAAGAAAAAAAAATTTAAATGCTCCTATTTTGATTTGTTAATCCAACAAACATTTAAAACTTAATAAATTAAAGTCTCATTTAAGGCGGTGCTGGGTTGTAACATGAATTCATATTAAATAAGATTTATCAAATTCAGTAAATTCAGGGACCGTTTGGGGCAGCTTATTTAGGTGCGTCGGCGTTTTCAAAATATTGCCTTAGTGTTTGGAAGTCGCGTTCATGCGGATTATCCCTGCCGCAGTGCGTTAGCTTATTGGAATTTCTTAAGGGCCTTCGACGCGGGCGAAGACTTGTGTCCCGCGTTTAGCTTGTAACATTGCCCTAGTTACCCATGTTCTCCCTCTCGCTCTCCCTCCCTGGATTCGTCACCCTAGACCGTGTTCCTTTCGATTTTTCTTTCTAATTCGTAAGGTATGTTTTCCCTCACCGTCAATGCTTCTTTCACTCACCGTTAATTCATAAGGTATGCTTTCCCTAGAGCGATCGAACGTCGCTGGGCGTGAATGGTTCTTTCTGGACTTGAAATGGCGATCGAACGTCACTGTTCCTTGTTTTTTTTTCTTGTTTTTTTTTCTTCCTTGACCGAAGATTTTCTTCTTCTTCGTTTTATTTTGAACTCGAACAATGTGAATGCTTCTGTTCCCTAGAATTCATTTTGTTTTTTGTTGGGCGTGAAGAAAAGCTTGGAGAATCGATTCCTTATATCGGGGCCGAATTTCATTTCGATTTTTGCCGGTTGTTGCATGATCGAAGAACAATATATTTACTCTTCTTCTTATTATTTCAATTGGAAAAGTAAGTATTTTTTCATGGAGTGATGAATAATGCTGCTTGGTTCATGAAAATGCTTAAGAGCTACAATTAATTTCCGTTTATAGGAGCTGTAGTTAATTCTTGTTTCTAGGAAACATAGGTACGAGCTTAGTTCATGAAAATGCTGCTATTAATTTCTGTTTATGTGCTAATTTTGTGAGCGATGAAAAAGAACTTTGCGAGCGATGATGGAAGAAAATCTGCAATCTGCTTAAATCTGGATCTACGTTACAAAAGAGATAGAACACGAAATTTAAAGACGAAACAAGACAAATTTTCATTTAACGGAGCATT